TATACAATATATATTAAAATGAATTTTACCTAAATCAAGTGTGATGGCTTAAACTTTCTGTACTTCCTGTTCCTTGTGCTCAGAACTTTGTTCCAATGATGATTTGTGCATCATCTTCTGCCTTAAACATTTCTTCTGGATTCTCTCTCTGTGTTTCCATCTCAGGTTTTCGGCACATCGTGGTATACAAACCACTCAAGAAGAAAATGAGTGCAATAATAGAAAAATATGTCCCGTAGACAGTAAACTGGAAGACAAGTAACACAAAAACAATGTAAATACATGTTCTGGATCTAATGCAAAATTAGCATCTGTGTCTATTAATTCTGACCTATATGGAGGGTGTCCGGTAACCTCACCTGCGTAACAATATCCACCCCAAGCCCGCTGCTATCCACCACCACTGAGGTGATGATTGTCTGGAGGACCAGCGCACAGAAGGTGTTGGCTCCGAACACAAGGGCGTAACGCTCCATGTTCAACCCAGCTGCTATCTGGAACCTATGAAACAAGGACATGGATGTACTCATGCATTCACTGACTAAATGGAGATATGATATTAGTGTGAAGGTGTATTTTTCTTGCTGCTGCTTTATTAAATGTCAGGAAATTGTGATTTCCGGGCCTGGAAATGTAATTGTAATTAATAATTTCTATAATTTATTTTTCTAGTTGTGCTCAGTTCTAAAAGATGTCATTGGCCGAAGTCATTTAGTGCAAATCTCCTTTGTTTTGTTTTTTTGCAAAAAACTTTAATCTGTAACGAGTGACTGGAAAAATCATGGAAATTCACCCTGTGAAGAGTAACGCAGTGAATGAAAATACGAAATAGTATTAGATATTAGGAAATATTGTAAATGTAATTTCCAGGCCTGGGAATGTCTAGAAAATTAAGAATAAATATTTATAATTTAGAATGTAGCTGTTAAGAATATATATTTTTATTTTTCTTAACCTTTGCAATGTGTATATTATTTATTTATTGCATCTACTGTATATAAACAGACACTTTTCCATGCTTTGCATTGTCAGCTCACTTAAAACAAATGGACCTGAAATTTGTCTGTCAGCATTACAGGTCCAAAATCTTCACCAGTGCACCAATTAAGGTGAAACAGCAAGGGTCAGATAAGATAATGTACACCTTTCTGAAAGTTTATCATGCAATTATGCTGTTAATTTGGAGCGGGTATAGGTTGCATTCAGCAAAATTCAGTCCATGATAACATTTAACTTGATTATTAATAAACATAATCTATTTCTATTAAAGGGGTCATATGATGTTGCTAAAAATAACATTATTTTGTGTATTTGGTGTAATGAAATGTGTTTATGCGGTTTAAGGTTAAAAAAACACATTATTTTCCACATACTGTGCATTATTGTTTCTCCTCTATGCCCCACCTTTCTGAAACGCGTCGATTTTTACAAAGCTCATCAGTCTGAAAAAGCGAGGTGTGCTCTGATTGGCCAGCTATCCAGTGCGTTGTGATTGGCCGAATACCTCAAGCGTGTGACGGAAATGTTACGCCCCTACCATACTGTGATGCCCTGTCAGGCCGGAGCGATGATTCAAAAACATTCAAACCCATTATAAACGAGGTATTCGTTGCATCCAGTGGAGACATAATTATGGATTATAATGACTTATACTGTCTTTTTACACGTTGCGTTGCATCGCGCCGCGTAAACATAAAACCATGTCTGCATTTGTGATCAGAGAAATTACAAACAACAAGCTCTACTCTACACTCCTCAAAAAAAACTCGCTTTAAATATATAAACTATAAAAACTCTTTAAATATAAAAAACGTACTTACAGTCCGTGAGTCAGAACAGCCGGCATTGTAGTCTACTCTTCCAGGATCAGAAAACAGTCCTCCATAAAATGTGCTGCACACATCTGAATATTTGGATTGAAGTGTTCTGGAACAGTGTTGTAAATACAACTTAACCACTGATTTCTAGTCGTGTCTATTTTTGGAAAGCCAAACAAAGTAGTTTCACTTTCACAACGAAACACAGCGTCACACATGGCGGCCTAGAGTGAGCTGAGGCCGGGGGATAAAGTGAGGAACGGAGGATTCAACGAAGGGCTTGCAGCAACCACATGTGACGACTCCGGGCTGGACTCCGCTTCGTCCACGGTGAAAGCCGATCCGGCGATCCACAGCGCAAAGTTGTAGTATTTCCTCAGCAACCAGCACGGATCAGCTCCAGGCATGACGAAGCAGATATCATCCTCTTTTGGAAGACCAAACAAAGTAGTTTCGCTTTCACAACGAAGCACACAGCGCATTCACAACATGGCGGCGGCAACAACAATACTACAACGAGAATAAAAGTTACGCCTTCTTTCTTTGCGTGAACATTTGGGCGGTGTTATGCAAATCTTCCCACATAGTGACGTAGACATGTGGGGGCGTGTTAGAACGAGCCATTTTAGGTAGGAGTGGCTGACTCTTAACTTTTATAAAGAATATCTCTTTGGATTTGAGACTTTAGTCTTTGCAACTTTACAGATCACCAAGAGCTTGTAACACTCCAAAGAGAAAGGAAAAATTGAAATCGCATCATATGACCCCGTTAAGTCACGTATTTTAAACAGAACTTACATGGCAATGGTGATGAGCAGCATGTACAGGCTCTTAAAGATGATGTAGCCACAGTAGCAGACCCAGATGTTTGCGCTGAAGACCATTGCGAAGAGAGCGCCGCCCTCCAGAGCCGAGAGCGCTCCCAGAGCCACCTCTCCCCAGCGAGACCAGTCTGCAGATGAAAAACCGATACCGTATGCCGCCGCGGCACCTGTGGTGCAGTATTGTATAATAAGAAACACAATATACATTTTTATTTATCTTTATAGTTATCGTGTTTTATCACTTTGAACCCGTTCTATATAGTATGAATATGGGTAGTATAAATTCTGACCTACTACATCCACCGTGTTTCTATGATTATGTGGCCTACAGTATGATTTGTGTCACTTTTCTGCCAATCACAAATCCTCTACTGTGGCCTCATGGGATAGTAAAGTGTCCATCAAATGCGCATTTCAGAATCTCACTGAAAGTAGTAGGTCATTCGAGTACTTTGAACCTACATTTGATCTAAATACTGTGCATTCAGATGTACTAAAGCTACTCTTTTGCAGTTTTTCGCATTCTGTATGGTTGAGAAGTGTTCGATTTCAGATGCAACGATGGAGTTTATAGTGAGGTTAGATGCCATACGGAATTTAACATTTAACAATTTCAACACTGTGACAGGTAGACTTATAGACTTAGTCTTACAATGGTAAACACTGTAAATATCCTAGATAAAATCATTTTCACAACTCACAATTATCAAAACTGTTTCACGGAGTTTTGTCTTAAAAGCTTTTTTTCTGGAATGTTTCAGCAGAACAATCGGGGTATATAGTGCAGTTCATTGAAAAGCACTATACTCCTATCCCTCAAAGCCTCATTTCCATTCCTGTCAAAAATATATGGTGCTACCCTGACTAAAGTTTATATCAGGCATATTTTCTAGAATCTAATAAGCTCACAATAAATAAGTGTCCCGTCTACTCACCAATCAGGTTTGAGAGGGCCTCCACTCCTCCATTGTAGACCGTGAAGTTACTCGACGGCTCCACGTAGTCCCACAGTGACTGGACGTAGTTCACCGTCTGGTTGTAGCCGCAGGTAGCCAGTGCCCACCACGCTGACCAGACAAGCAGCGTACGAGAGGAGAAACACTGCAGGAAATCCCTCCACAACCGGAGCAGAACATCACAGCAGCCACCTGGGATATCATGATGCCAAACAGAGATGCATTCCATTTAGATTTTCTGGATTCAGTAGGTTAATATTTTATTTATAATATCCGTTAGTTATGACGCTCTTTTTTTTCAACTTGACCTTGTCATTTTTAATCAAAATGTCTCGATATTCCAGTAAAACGAGAGACTTCTTCAATCATTTAGACATCTTAAACCCTGCACTTTTCTTATAATCGACAACAAGCTCACATTCAGATCTAGGCTACCTCCATCCAGAAAAGATCTGTCACTAATTCCATTTCATTGCAGCTTTAAACATCAAAGACAATTAGCATTTTAGCTATTGATTCACTTTGGGATTTCCTGTGGGATTTATGTTTTAAATTCTTGGATAGATTGTAAAAGCAGAATGAGATGCGTTTTCCTGTTTTGTCCACTGACAACCTCGCATTTAGCAACTTGTTAGAAACCACCTTTTTGAAATCCCAAATAAGCTTAGCTTATGTATTTTATGGCATAAATAAAATCTAAAAATATCTTGTGTTAACCACAGAACTAATTTCAGGCATTTAACCAAAAACCCAATCAAAAAAGCCATTGACTTTGGGATGATGGCGCCAGAAGTGCAAAAATGCCACTTATTTTAGTTGGTTTAGGACTCATCCCTGCAGCACTCCTGTGATTTTACTAATATGGCAGATTCGACTCATTAGTCCTACCTGTCTTGGAACTTTTTGCACTTGTATTATCACATTCAGCGGAAACGTCTGGTATTTGCTGCTGCCGTTTGGCTCCATCCAACTCTACGCCACCTTTTTGGCCATCGCTCTGAAGATCCTCCTCTGTCCCAACGTGGCCTTCACCATCAGTCTCTCCTCTAGCACTCCTCATTTGGTGGAAGAACATACTTGTCTTGGGCATTGGGAGAAGAATGGAGCTGATCAAAGCAATACCAGTGAGAACCAGTGTAAACACTAGAATGTTGTCATAGGACATCAGCTCAAAAGAGACTAGGATTTGGCCCAACACTGAACCAACGGTGTAGCCCAGCAGCTGGGCAGTCCGGCAGTATGAGGTGGCTTTCAGGTAATGCTTAAACTCCACCACGCTGTAGAGGTACGTGAAGTAAGCAACGTCACACGACGTCACCACTCCATATGTAAACTGCATTGCCTGCATCTCTAGGACACCATTACACCACAGCAACATCGCCGTGGTGGAGAACAGGACTAAACACTGGAAGATCACCACAGGTTTGTAACGTAGCCAATCAGTGAGGAGGAAGACAGGAACCAGCACTGCCAGGTACGAGTATGTCCACACCGGGAATATCTGATTGGTTACCTTGGGGGGGAACAGTGATTTATCACCAACAACAAACTAGATTTATTGCACAAATCTAAATCGGTCACAGTATCACAACAATTGATTAATACAAAAAACTGCATGAAGCCTAACCCATGTTACACGTTACATGTGCTTACTATTGTACTAACAATAAATTATGCATAATTACATACAAGTAACCCTAAGCCAAACCCTAACCATATAGTAAATACATGCAGTTAGTTAATATTACTCAGTACTTAAATGTATAATTAGGGCACCTTAAAATGAAGTGTAACCATATTAAAATCTAAATAATAATATACAAAATATAATTAAAAAATATTTTTAATAAGTGTAGATTAAATATACTGCTGTAACTATTTGACATGTCATGGTAACTTGCCAAATACAGATTTATATATACAGTGGGTACGGAAAGTATTCAGACCCCCTTAAATTTTTCACTCTTTGTTATATTGCAGCCATTTGCTAAAATCATTTAAGTTAATTTTTTTCCTCATTAATGTACACACAGCACCCCATATTGACAGAAAAACACAGAATTGTTGACATTTTTGCAGATTTATTAAAAAAGAAAAACTGAAATATCACATGGTCCCAAGTATTCAGTCCCTTTGCTGTGACACTCATATATTTAACTCAGGGGCTGTCCATTTCTTCTGATCATCCTTGAGATCGTTCTACACCTTCATTTGAGTCCAGCTGTGTTTGATTATACTGATTGGACTTGATAAGGAAAGCCACATTAATTATTTCTGTTCACTGCATATTTCACTGCAGTATAGATACTTCTACAAATATAACTCAGTAATAACTATACCAAAATCAGAGTAACTAATTTACAGTGTTCAAAAAACTGCATGTAGCCTATAATTAATTAGTTCAATTACTAAAGAACAAGATAAATATATACATATAAACAATAATACTGAAATAATAATATAAAAATAACTAATAATACAATATATGACATAAAATGTATTATAATAATTTTAGATTAATTATAGCATGTCTTAGATGTTACTATTTAAAATATAATGTCAACTTGCCAAATAGAGATGTTTAAATATTATCTATCCACTGCATATTTTATAACAGTATCATATTTTTATTGCACAAATCTAACTCACAATATCACAATAACTGACAGCCATAAAAGGTTAAGCTTTCTCTATAATGAATTTGCAGAGAATTTCTTCTGTAGAACACAACAATTTCTGTTGTTGTTGTTTTAACTGTTTTTGTCGATACAATTAAAGTCAGTGAGTTCAAACCACCAATGGACCCCACTGAATTTTATTGTACGGAAAAAACACAGAGACATTCTTTTTTTTTTTTTTTTTTTTTTTTTACATATCTTTGTATTAAAATTCTACAGGTTTGGAACAACATAAGCGTGTGCAAATAATGACAGAATTGTAATTTTTGGGTGCGCTATCCCTTTAAGATCTGCTCAGATTATATGACATGGATTTCTATGAGTCATGACGAGTTTCTGAAATGAGATTCTGAAATCCAAAAACATTGTGTTAATAATTAAACTTCTTGAAAGGTCACTATACCTGCTCAATGGTTAGGTTCTTGTCTGGTCCAGTTAGGAATGGGATGAGAAATGGTTCTAAAGGCTTTACTGTGCTGAAGAACCCATAGATGCATAACAGAACAGTGGGATACTTCCAGTCCCTCATCCAATGCTTCAGAGTCTCCATCTTTTTAGATTCAGTGTTTCCTTAAGTTGGATGTAAATACACTACCTTTATCAGACTGAACACTATAATAATATAATCTTTATGTTATTGTCAAAACAGCACTATTTTTGCATGCACTGTTTACCTTTGCAGGTGTGTGAGATCTGTTTTCATGGAAGAATTGCTCCTGTCTTGAGATAATCACCGCTCACTCTGAGGGTGAGAGTCTCTGCTGTAAATGAGCAACCAGTGAGCAAAGTTCTGCTTAGATTATTCTGATCACACCTTCATTCTGAGCCATATTGTTATTCACTAGATAATCAGACTTTATTTATTATTCTAATACTATGCATTATGTGATTAATTATTTTAGGATTAATTAATTTGAGAAACGTTTACTTAAGTCGTGTCTTCACTCTTTATTAGTATAACTGTGGCAATATTTCTTGTGATTTTCTTCTGGTTTTGGAGCTTTTATTATTATTCTTTTTTTTTTTTTTTTTTTTTTTTTTTTTTTTTTTTTTT